ATTTGGTTTCAGCGATAACTTTATTACATGGATAAAGAATGTACAGTAGTAGCAATTCAAAATGTCCCCACTTTCTTGCTGGTTGCCTACAATTCCTTTTTAAACATCAATCTTTATGCTAAAATATTCTTTCAGTCATGATTTGTGAACATTAGGATCTAAAGAGAAGCGCCATCTGCTGGTCAGACCCTGTAATTCAGTGAAAGGCTGGAGTCAGAGTAAATAAAAATGCAACAGGGGGTCACATTGGCTGGAAGTTATAGGGGATTCTGCTGAGAGTTGTAGGGAAGGGAGGCTGCCATTCTGCTGGTGTTTGACTGGGAAGGTCCATTTTAAATGGCTGCTGCTGTATATGATGCGCCTGTTGCTTTTGTTTTGACAAATGGTCTCATATCTGACCTGTTCGAACTATATTTGTGATAGCGATAGAACCGTTAAAACAAAACATAAGAAATCATACTGATATTTGTGTTAATGTGGATAAACTGCGTCAAAAACTTCTGCTATATGCAGACGATTTTAACACAACCTGAAAAAGTTTTATTAGATTGTATACAAGATTTTACATTACTGTCTGAGTGCCATGTTAATTGGGATAAATGCCTTGATCACAAAAGCAATACCTATATCGGGACACTGCTCTTCATCTTTATTCAAAAAACTGGAAATTTCACTGATCTAAAAGTATCAAATACCTGGGATACACATTAGATCGGATTATACTGACATGGATGCAAAGAATACAGGGCCCTTACTTGATTAAAAATCAAGACATATTTTGATAGATGGTCTAAAATGAATCTCTCATTGTGGAGGAAAATCAACTATGATGATAGCACCTTTTGTATTTTACATCTTGAGCATTACTCCTCCGTATATCAAAGATTCTTATTTTTGAAGGACGTGATCATGTGATTTTAGACTTTTTTTGGCGCAGATCACATCACTGTTTGAGCCCGAGAAATTACAAACGATTAAAAGAGGAGGTTTTGAACAACAAATTTCAAATGGTATTATTGGGTTTTGGTTTTGAACTATCTAACAGCTAGAATGTGAGTCTAATGGAGGTTGTTTCTTTTTTCGTAAAGTTCAAAACAAAAATGGAACAGAGCTAAATTAATTAAAAGGGCTAAATTAATATAGATTAAACTACATAGAGCAGGTCATTCAGATTTTTTAAAGTCACCATTAGCTCATGTATGAAATAATAAAAGACTCTAGCTGGGGGAATTATTTGATCCTGCAGTGGCGTAAAAGGGGGAATCTCTATTGTTCAAAATCTATTTGATTTGGAGTTTGGACCAGATGGTTGCCAAATACAATCAGTCATGTAGTCAATTCTGGAGATATGTCCAATTGTGCAGCTCACTATCTAAAAGGTGGGGGAGCCCTCTCAGTTGCCCTTCAGGTTGCCCGGTTGAAGCATTGCTTTGTAAATCACATATTTATACTAAAGGGGCTANGTAAATAAAAATGCAACAGGGGGTCACATTGGCTGGAAGTTATAGGGGATTCTGCTGAGAGTTGTAGGGAAGGGAGGCTGCCATTCTGCTGGTGTCAGACTGGAAAGGTCCGTTTTAAATGGCTGCTGCTGTATATGATGAGCCTGTTGCTTGTGTTTTGACAAATGGTCTCATATCTGACTCATACCTGACCTCTGGTTTGCCCTTCAGGTTGCCCGGTTGAAGCATTGCTTTGTAAATCACATATTTATACTAAAGGGGCTACCTCTAAACTTTATAAATCGCTACTTGATCATATATATATATAAGTATAAAACATCATGGCAGCAGAATTTAATCTTACTCAGGGTTAGATACGGTAGGCCTAGCAGAAGGAGCCATGAACAGTTAAAAGTATATATTTTTTTAAATCTGCAGAATAACACGCTACCACATCAGCACTCATCATCATGCATATGTTGTTTGCAAATGATAAGACATCACTGGCTCTAGCCATAACAAGATGATACACAGTGTTCTTAGATCAAAGATAATCTGATGCATGCTAGCAGAGCTTTCTCTGTTAAAAAGGATCATCTCTGTCTCTGTGCTCTCAGTTCATTTCCTAAAATTTTTTACTTACATAATGAAGATGATTCATTTTTAATCCAGCCTGGGAAACATTAGTCCTAACACTAACAGGTTGATAATATTATACTTTATAAGCACATACATGAATAACACAGAATATTCCTAACATTTCTGGAATGCTGTGATTTCAATTTAAAGTCTTATTGAATCAAATGTTTTATGCTCACACCAGATCTTCAAAGGTGTAAATTTATTTACTTTTGTAATTCGGAAGAAAGCGTGTGTAAACCTTTTTGGCGTGTTTTCCTTCATCGATATGCAGATGACATTCTGATAACTGAGCTGCATGATTTCAAGAGCAGATATGTATGTGTTCATATCAACCACTTGCAATGCATTTTTTCATCTGAAGCTTACCTGGCTGAACTTTTCGTGTCATTTTAAGCAAATCTGAAAGTCAGATAAAAAAAAAACTCTTCCTTCATTGCAGCAACAAGGACAGCATTGGTACATCAGACGATGGAAAGATAATCTGTTCACATGCAAACACATTTGAACCTCACCTTTTAATGTTATTTCATGGGCTCAAACAAAGCACTGCAATATTTCATTCTGGGCTTTCTTTATTTTCAATTCAGTTTATTTCTATAGCTCCAATTCACATCATGTCATCTCAGCTCACTTTACACCAGATCATCCAGTCAGATTGATTCAAAGTTTTCTA